ACATTTTTGTTTCACGTACATGACCAGATCCGTTTTTGGCTCCATTCACTGGGTTAGATCGGCGGACAGTGTCGTTGCAAACCGGATCGGAGTGGTCGCAAATGTGATCAGTGTCGCCGACTATTTTATGGTGATCCCAATCACCCAGATGGTTGTAAACGTGAGTGTGCCTGAATTGAGATGCTTTGATTTTATTCATCTGAATGCACACACACTCTTCATTCACACAATCAGCTTCAATTTTTCTGTTAGTTATTTGATTTTCTACACGGTAGTTTGTCATCCATATTTCTGTTCCGTTATCAATGACAGTAAAAAACAGTGTGAGCCAATTCCACCTCTGCCACGTAGCTGAACGTGCATATTGCACAATGTGCAGATCCTTTAGATAACAAGTCATCAATGTTCTAAAGAATAACCACGAGAAATGGGGGTGGGGTGGGTGGATAAGTTTAAGTAGGTAGAGCAGACTATGGCTTTTGGTAACAGACGTCATATGTTTATTCGAATTAGGAATACAGGTCCACGAAAGCCGTGTGTGAGTGATACAATCATGACTCCTGACAGTACACTTAGCCAGATTTAGTAATGCCATTTGAGGTGATGGGTAAATAGAACATTTCAAGGCACATTCTGAATAAAATTTAAATTTACCAAAAGTTATCTTAAGTGGACAATTAATGAAAGTTGACATCAGTTCTGCTTCAGAAGGAGGAATTACTCAATAAGGGCTTAATACAAAGGTGTAGAATCTCTGGGGCCGTATGAGTTGTCTTTATCCATTTTAACTTTTGGATCTTAATCTTAGTTATAGGATTAACGAAAGTTTTTGTTTTGTTTTGGAAAACTGAATACGTTACAAATGAATAATGGTATTCTTTTTGCTTTCATCCACTTCATCAACATGGAAGCCACAGTCGACACTCAGGAAGAACGCCGTTTGCACGTGAACGCTATTTTCTAAAACTGAAAAATATCAGTGTGACTGTGGTTGAGTTCTAGCTCCCGCAACACAAAATGATAGGTGGGCAGTCCATAATGTTTGACTATGATTACAGTCATCTGATACGTTTACGTTTTATTTCCACCACAACATCGGGTTTCAACTTGCTAATGAAGTGCATGGAGCAACTGTAAAGCCAATTTTCTAGCGCAGAAATAAAGCCGTCATGGTTGAGGGATAAAAACCACACTACTGTCTGCATCGAATTGCACGTGTCGGGTGCAATAGCCGTTCAAGTAATGCCGATGTTCGTCACAAACGTTCGGATAATAATGGTTATACTAAAGGCCTCCGTAGATAAACATGGCAGAAGAATGTGTTATAGGTAGCTCCTAATCCGCGTGCAGGTTAGCCCCAAGGCACATCACTGATGGAACAAGACTAAGGGTGATCAAACTAAGACCTAGTGTAGGATTATGAAAACCCTGACCTAGGTGTTCTTTCACATAGGTTCCTTTTGGGTCCGTATTTACGGACCCCGCGATCAGTCCTATCAATGGATGGTGGAACTGCGTGATGTGAATGAGTATCAGAAACAATCACGGTTGTTCATCTATTCACTTTGTAGCCGTATGTAATTTACCTGGTTTCAGTGTTTCCCGCTCCTCTTCATTGGTCGACTAAATGTGTGGTTTAGAAGCAGCAACCAAACCCGTCGCACAATAGTGTAGGATTAATGGATTTGTGAAATGATGTTGGAATCTATGGTCTAATTGGTATTCGTTCCATGATTTAACTCTCTGGAACTGGTACTACACCAAACGTCTGCTTACAATGTTTGATGACCTTACCGGTCCAAACTCTAGTTTAGTTCTCAAGTTTTCAATCAACCAAGATAGTGTTCCTTATAAATGAAAATCCACCCATCGGTGATCAAAACCGAATGGAGTTCTGAGTTTATCCGAAATCGATGCATAACGTGCAGTCTTATAAAGAGATATCTGTCAAAAGTAGCATCGTCTGAAGAGGTGATAAGTCAACACTAATTTCCGTGGATGGTTTTTCTCAAGGCAATTATTTTTCGATTCATGGTATAGTGATAAGCATATGGACCCGAAAGAAAGTATGAATGCACATATAACCTTCGAAGAGTTATTCGATCAGTCATTGTGTTTCTGAAATTTAGTGTTAAACACGAATTTATTAGTTGTAACAGTGGAGCAGAAACTCGGGGAAAAAAGAACGGGTAACCACCACCCTCAGTTTTGATCACTGATATGTAAAACGATGCAAACAATCATACACACACACACACGAGTATAATTAAATTGTGTCACAAGCCATTTGAGTATTCTGATGGTCAGCTGAATCAGAGGTAAAAATAGTACCAATAATATGATTTCTATCGTTTTCCATCCGGAAATAAAAACCCCTGATACTCTTGTTGCTCTCTTGTTTAAAACTAGCCTGTGATTGTGATCGACGCGGTTCCGTCGGAGATGCCTGTGATCCGAAATCCGGACAGTGTACTTGTCGAATGGGTATTGCTGGAAGACGTTGCGATCGATGCGATCGTGGAACACAAGGCATCCTACCCGACTGCCGACCCTGTGGTGAATGCTGGACTGATTGGGACGAGGCCATAGACAATGTGGTCGGTGAGTGACGCGAAACACTTTGTGTGGTTGAATTCTTTAAGCTGTTAATAGGTGTCTAAATGTAGTTATTTTGGTTGAATGCAGAAAACCAGTGATGGAAATAATGGAATTAGCCTAGCTTAGCATACCTTTGTCGGTGTGTGTGTGTGTGTGACACGCTGCCATATGCCCGAGCTAATAGTCCTCTTAAGCTGTGGTGGTTGGCCTTTCTTATTTACTCTGAAATAGCAGAGTCTGTTGTTCCTAGAAGATAAATTACTCTGGGTTGCATTTCCTGTGATAGATGCCAGAAAGTAAACCAATTTTCTATATTTGTGATACGCAGCATTATTGTTTTTCATTTGGAATTAAATGTTTGTGTGTTCCGAAAACCACGCATTCAATGAGCTTGCACCAACGTAAACCAATCCACATATTGTATTTGGTTTCAGCTGAACTGGATCGACTGCAAAATCAAACAGGAAGACAATTGCCACCGGATTTAAAGGTTCTGTTCGACAGTCTGGTGCGTCTCTTAGAACAGATCGAAAATGTGCCTTGGATGAAAGCAGACGATGCCAAAATGCAAGAACTGGGGCAAACATTGACCCGGACGGAGTAAGTTCGTTGTTCATACCTTGCTGTTTTTTTTCAAGCTCTATGTGCTCTGTCAAGTCTTAGTGCTCTACTCGTCGCAAATCAAGACCCTTTGATTTCATTATCATTTTTATGAAATTATTCTGGCACAAAATTGTCATTCAGAGAATTCGTATTATTTCGCATCGGGCTTAGAGATGATCAGTATGAAAAGGAAGACAGTGAATAGTTAGCTTTTGTTGAAGATTTGGTGAGGGGCGCACGAGAGTTTTCGTAATGTACTGGAAAACATAGGACAATCATTGGTTGAAACCGGTTCACAAAAATCTGTGAATCGTTGTTACAGCCAAATAAGTGTCAGTCCGGGCAAAGAGAATCAGGTGTGAGATTATAGTAGAAAGTTACTGAAAGGGGGACACAAACGTATCGACCCGTTGTGGCTATCGTAGCCATGTTGATTGCACCAGGCTTCAGTGTTTGAATGGCTCGAGTCTCTCAATCCTGATTGCTGAATCTTCAACAATGATAAGAAACTCCTTGTGCAGTCCTTTAGGTGGCAGCTTCGGGGTTGATAGGTTCGCCTTAAACACATTCGCATCGTCAGTTGTACTGATACCATATGCATAAAGCTGCTTTCACTACACTTGCTGGAAAGTAAATTCTTTACCGTTAATGGTGTGAATTCCTCCGAATGTGAATTAATGATGAATGGGCCCACAACGGATAGATTAACACAATAGTCGCCTAAGAAGAACAATAAAATGGACTCCTGCTGTACTGTGATTTCCAACGGCACATAACTCTCTCGAAGGACTCAGTGTGAATTGAACATATTTTTGTGAGTCACTTACAGGACTTGAACTGTGCTTTTGGTAACACCGGTCTTTTTGTTCTCATCGGGAAGAGTGACTCGTTTGAATCAAACCACGATGAATGTGCATAATGATAGAAACAATCTCTACTTCGGAGATTGATAGCTTGATGCATTTCCTACACCATCCACCGTTTAGATGAGATGTGCTACTAGCTTTCTTGTAGAAACCGGTTTTAATGAAATGTATTGAAAATGGAATGAATTAACAAGAACCGTCAATTTTGACATTCAAAACACAGAAATCAGACCTCACGCATGTACACGAACAAGCGAACTCGGATACAGGGTGCGTATGACAAAGTTTTGAAAATCGGTTCTCGTAGCTCGGGTGATCGGGTAATCTCCGAGCTTGTTAA